ATTTCGTTTTTTGAATTCGGAATTATGTTCTTGGACCTCCCATGCCATTTCTGGTTTTACATGAGAAGGAATAAGGCAAGGGGAATGTAGAGCAATAAAAGGGAAAGGGAAAAGGAAAAGAAAGGGAAAAGGAAGTGGATCAAAAAGAAGAAAAGGAACAGAACTGAAATCTGAAAGCATAACCAGAGTCCAGTGCTATCCAAACAAAATATTCTCATCCTATGGATTTTTTGATGGTGAAGTGACTTGCTGCTTTATTCACAAATAAAACTTGGCATACTGTGCATTGTTCCATATTTTCACAAAATTGCCTACCAAATCTCGTATTCATGTACAAATGTTTTCTAAAAGTTTATTTTATATGATTTCATCTTTTGACTTGTCCATGTGAGTACTTTAAGAGCATATTTTTCCTTGAAGAATCCATGCTTTTGCATCATTTTTGTTTAGAAAGCATCTTTTTGATAAAACACAGAGAAACCGAATTGATAGATATTTCTTTACGAAAGTCAAGGCAGGACTGCATTAATTTATCCAAATAAAATTTAGACAGGATTGTATTTGTGATGGTGCTAATGGTGCTGCTGATCATGATGATAATGAATTCATTTGAAAATAGTACAGAATTCATGGAATCGTACAATACTAGGGTCAGAAGGGGCCAAGAAGGCTATTGAGTCCAACCCCCTGCTCGTGCAGGACGCCAGTCACACCATCCCACTCAGACGTCTATTTTCTTCTTGAATGCCTCTAGTGTGGAAGAGCACAACCTCTCATGGCAGCTGGTTCCATTGTCATATTGCTCTTACACTTAGGAAATTCTTCCTTGTGTCTAGGCTGCACCTGGTGTACTGTAGTTAAGTGTATTGTTCCATGTTCTATACTGTAGGATGAATGAGAAGAGATCTTTTCCTTCTTCCTTGTGACAGCCTTTGAGGTACCTGTACAGAGTGCTATCTTGTCACCTTGTAGTCTTCTTTTCTCAAAGCTGACAAGTTCTTTCAGCCACTCGTCCTAAGACTTATTTTCCAGGCCTTTTATCATCTTCATTGCCATCCTCTGAACACTCTCCAGATTATCAGCATTGTTTTAAATCCTGGGTGCCCAAAACTGAATGCTGTATTCCAGGTGAGGTCTGACTAATGCAGAGTAGAGGGGAATGAGAACTTCTCTTTTTCTGGAAGTGATATCTTTATATATGCGTTCCAAAATAGTGTTTGCTTTTTTGCAGCTGCATTGCATTGCTGTCTCATATTTAGCTTGTTGTCTACAACACCTCCAAGGTCGCATTCACTCTTAGTACTGCTGAGCCAAGTATTCCCCATCTTATATCAATGCAGCTGATTATTTTTTAACTAGGCATTTGTCCCTGTTGAATTTCATTCTGTTGTTTTCTGCCCAGCATTCAAACTTGTCTGGGTTCCCCTGGATCTTCTTTTTGTCTTCCAGAGTGTTAGCTATTCCACCCAGTTTAGTATTCTCTGCAAATTCAATTACTGCTCCTTGGATTTCATCATCAAGTTCATTAATAAAGATGTTGAAAAGTGCTGGTCCCAGAACTGAGCCCTGTGGTGCCCCATATGCAACCTTGCTCCAGGCTGAGAAGCTACCACTCTCTGTGAGATTAGGTTAGTTTGGCATGACTTATTCTTAAGAAATCCATGTTGGCTTCTTTTTATCACTACTTTTTTCTTCAAGGTGCATACAGAATGATTTTTTAATTATTTGCTCCAGTAATTTCCTAGGGATTGGACTGACTGCTCTATAGTTCTCTGGTTCATCTTTCTTCCCTTTCTTGTAGAGGGAGACCACATCAGCTCTCCTCCAGTCATCCAGCACTTCCCCTGTTCAAGATTTCTCAAACTTTTTTTGTTTTGTTTTTAATGATACAAAATACAACTGTAGTTCATTTTCTGAGCAAGATGCCTTTTTCCTTCTGGATATGCTGGACTGGTTTGTGAAACACAGAGACTTGGCCTAAGACACAATAACCCATCATTAGTAACTAACTATGGTGAGCTGTACAACCTAGACCTTGTCCATGCAGGTGGGTTGTTTTGAAGGAACAAACTGCTCTGACAAACCACAGTTTGCTCTAGAGATTGTTGAACTCTCAGTGAGTTCTTCTGTCCTCTGATCCCAGGAGACCAATCTCATCATGGGCTGCAGGAAGTGGTGAGCCAGCAGCCCGGCAGGATCATAAGAACCTTGCTGATCTCGGTGGTCTTGTCTGTGCTGCTGTGAGCAGCACCTGCTCCACCAATGCACAAGCTGCACTTTGGAGCAACTGGCACTGGCTTGTTGCTCTCTTTTGTGGGGCTGGGGAGCAGAGATATGTGCAACTAAGAGTATGATTTTTTTTTCTGCTCTTCTAAAGGTGTGCGGTTTCATATTTATGGTTGCCCAAAAATAGATTCTTGCATGGCCAATACCTATCCTATCCTGTATACTCCTATATGTTTCATATATAGTAAACTATGCTAATATATTATTTAATATAGTTACTTCAGCAAGGGCAGCCTGGATATCCATATATTTTTTCCTTTTACAGATTATGCCTAAAGGCCACCCATTCAAAAATTAAAAGCATCATTGAGTCCTCAACCGACTCTGTCATCAGAGGTGGTTGTTTGCATTTCCAGCATTGTAAAATCAAATTTTTAACTGACAAAACTGTACCAAAACTGATCCACTCACACTGACCTTGCATTAAATTTCAAGAGAGGAGCAGACTGCAGAGCAGATGGTCAGTGGCAGCAGCGCAGGGCTTGTAGGGCAGGAGAGGAATACAAATGAAAATGGACCCAGAATTGGAGCAGGGTGACAAGATGGATTCCACCATCTGGGGTACCTGGTAGAGGACTGGGGGTAGGGGAAAGGGAAGGAGAATAACCCATAGTAAGCCAAATCAACAACCTCTCAGGGTCTGAAACCATGACATTGATCTCCTGGTAACCTATTTGTGAAAAGCTGCACGGTTTACCTTGCAATTGTGTGCAGGACCAGGATCAGACCTATAGGTGCATGCAAGTATCAGAGCCTGTGCAACCATGCAACACAGCTGCGGGGTCTGGAAGGCTCTATAAAATGCTAGCCTGTGTGAATCTCTGTGCTATAGCGGTATGGGCTGGGTTGCATTCCTGATCCTGCCTCAGGTCTTTCCTTCAGTTGTGCCTTGATTCTTTGATTCTGATTCTGATCTTGCATTCAGTTTGACCCCACCTTGCCTCTGGCCTCCTGTATTCTGCTGAGACCTCTGTCATGCCTGGTCCTGGTGCTCCAGCTGTAGACACTTGCTGTCCATTTCTCAGACCTGGCACTGTCAGGCAGACAGCTGCACCACATTGCTTGTCTGCAGGGTGCATAGCTGTGCCATGCGAACTTGCCAGAGAAAAGAGAGATCTGAAACTTCAAAGCAGAGGGGCAATTCTGTAGGTTCCATCACTGCATTCAGTGCACATGAATTTTCATTTTCATACTTGACCAAAAAAAAAGGCACTGAAGGTTTCCTGGGGAAACCAACTGTGTGAGTCTTTCTATCATATCACCAGGAAAACATCCCCAGTTCCCCAAACACTGGAGCATTTTGTACTTTAAAATGTTCTTTAAAAATAATACAACAAATGAGCACAAAAATGCATCACGTGTTTTTTTTAAAAATAAAAGGACAGATGGCTTGAGGTGTGGAGGTAGGAAGAAGACTGACAGCTGAAGTAGCACTCCATTCACCATTCTGCCTGTCAGCCATTTTTACAAAAATGAATGACCATGTGCCCTTTTGCAGCTCATTCATGTGGATTTCACAAGTAGCCAAGTTCTCCAATCAAACAAGCCAAAGACATTACCTTTTTGTAGCTTCTGGTTCCCTTCCCAGAGGAGTTAAATCAGGCAAAAAGGGAGACAGGTATGTTCTCTGGGACTGTTTGAGAGAAGTATTTTCTCTGCCATGCATTAGCAGAAGGAAGGAAAGGTTAAGTGCAGATAGGAGTGGAAGAAAGGACAGCCATTATTGCAGGATTTCTCTCAATTGCCATTTCTGGCAATTTGTTGAGTGGCTCAGAATTATTGACTCAGTCACCTTTGTTGAAAGGACTTGTGCTCAAAGTCCTTTTCTTGTTCCTTCCCGCACCTCCCCTGCTGTGGCATATGCTTCATGTCACTACTCCTTTTAGAATGTTCTTGCCATGTTGCCAGGTCAGGTCTACTTGGCTTTAATTCCTTTTCTGTGACTTCAGTACCCTGTCATCTTTCTTTCTGTAATACTGTCTCAAATCTACCAACAGAAATGAATGTCAGTATTCAGTGAATAGATGCCTAAGTTTAAAACATATTCATATCACTGTCTCATATTTTTCAAAATATTGATCATCTTCCTAAGAAGGGATGTGCTTGCACGGTAATTAGATTACTTGCTAACATATTTTATAAATCAACATATTCTGCATTAGAACAATGGTGGATGCATCCATGTTTTAGGAATGTTCAAAAATCTTACCAAGCAACATTTATAAGAGTAGAGCATAAATACTTCATATAAGAAAGCATCTTACTTAATTCTGTTATTTTTCTTTCTAACTGAAACATCCAGGAAAGTTGAAGAGTGAAAAGAACTTCAACTAGCTTTAGTTGAAGTTTACATTTCCAATGTGCCAAAAGTAATTGCAACAGTGAAATCAAAAGTCTCTCAGAAAACAGAAAATAATTGTTTCCACTGGAGCCTCTTGCTGTTAATGATTCCCTAGCTGAGTATATGTAGCCAATAGTTGTGGGCATAATTGTCTGGTAAAGATGTGAACTGCAGAGGAATATGGGGGGAAATATATAAAGCAAGTATTTGACTCAAATGGAAAATACAAATAGCATAATGAAAAACAGTCTTTTAATTTCAGGTTTTGAAGTAGACCTGGTTTTGAGAAAAAATCAATATGCTACCTAATACATAATACTGCAAGCATATATTCCATGTACTTAAACATGAATTTCTGTTCTGTTTCCTTCAGAGGTGCTACATCTGTTGTCTACAGATGCAGGCAGAAGGGAACGCAAAAGCCATTTGCTGTCAAAATCTTGAAAAAAACGGTGAGTTCCTTTTTTCTGTTTTCATGAATTTTTGCTGCAGAGAATATGTAATAAAATACAGATGTATTCATTTCTTAAGTGACCAGTCGGACCACCATAGTCTCTTCAGTTTCCTTTTAATTTATATTAATGATGTGGACATCTGCACCCATTAGAGTGAATCTATTCTGAAGGAACTGGTATAAATTTACAGCAATCGTGAGATGGCTCAGTGGGGCAATCTTCTGAGGAGCTACTGTTGCATTCAGAGCCCTGCAGCTGCAGGGGGAAAGGGAGTCTTGAGTTTTCCTTCCTTCTGGCAAACCTCAGCCTCTTTTTCTCTACCTCAAATTGGGGAAGAAACTAACCAGGACAGAGGTCTGATCCTGGAGAACCTTACTGGAGAACTTTGGGACCTTTTGTCGAGTACTGCCAGTGGGAACACCGCTGGCAGTTGCTTTACATCCATGGAACTTTCTGTGGTCTTTATTTGATTCCTCAGGTTGGATGCCTCCTCTACTGAAGAAGAAGGACCTCTGCAGTAGCAAAATCCCTTCCAAACAGAACATCTGGGGGCTTGGATTATAGTACTACTTATCTCTTGTATACTTACTGTTCTATCTGTAAATAATAAAATGGACAGAAAATACCATCCAGGTAAAAGACCTAAATGTTCTTCGCAGGTATTCATGCAAGATGCAGAAATCCTGAACAAAGAGGACGGAGATCATGAAATGGGCATAAAAATAAGAGAAGTCTTGCAAGCTAATTAATATACATATCATGTATGTCCTCATCATTACAATTCAGCACACCAAGGGTGGGGGGGGGGGAATCTCTATACAGGCACAAAGGCAGGGGAAAAAGAAAGTGTCTTAACCCACTGACCTCATGGACTCTTGCAGGAGAAGCAAGGAAGATGTTGTATCTTTGTTCCTGTAAAAGTGGCAACCTTATCTTAAATTTCATGTTAGCATACTGCAGTTGCATCTAAATGCTGCTGGTTTTTAACATACTTTAACCTAACTCGTACTTCATAGTCCATTTGCAAAGCTATCCCACACAACATCTTTTGCTGTCTTCCCAAAAAGGTTATTGAAACAAATTCAGGATTGTTATCAAATCTATACTGTATTCACTAAATTTATTAATTTATGGAGTTCGCTCTATTTATAGTGGTACTCTTAACGAAAGATGTAACAAAGAACTACCAGGTCCAGAATATTTAAATTAATTCATAATCAGACTGTTAAACAAAATTAAGAAACAAGTTATAGGTTTGGTAATAATCTCAAACTCATTAGGGAGAACACAACATTGAACACAATGAGATTTACTCCTAATAAGCATTCATTGGATTGCATTCTAAGAATGCAATCCTGTACTCAGATTTGGAAGTAATAATCCCATAGAACCCAATGGGGCATGTTTCTGAGTAGATTATGCTTTGTGTCTACAATGCTGGATCTGAATGCCTAATACTTATTAAGTGCCTACTAAATGATAAGAGTGTATATAATAAAATTTGCTGTCTATTAATCTTCATCTGAGTAGAAAATACGCCCCCTGCCTTGGAAGAAAACGTTAGAGGTTGCTGTGGCATTTGTTCACACATAATAGTAATCTATAGCTTGTTTAATCAATTGTTGAATTCTGAGCTGTCGTGATATGTGAACCCAGTCATGCTGACAAACCATTGTTTATTAGCTATGAACAACCCAGAAACTAAAGCCATAGTTTGTTGCTAGGTGGTGAACTCAGGGTTGTTCAAATCATTGGTGGTTGTTCCATATGAACACAAAACTTGTAGGTTATTCATGGGTTGTTTTGCCAGGCTACAGAGGTGGTAGGCAAGAGTGGTGAACACACACATGCACAGCCATAGTACTGCATTTGGGATACACAGAAGAACCAGGCAAAGGAGGAAGAAAACAAGGAACAGAGAAAACAAGCCATGGTTTGTATGACAATATGCTGGAAAATATCTGGGTAGGATGACTCCCGTGTTGGAAGACTCTTGCTCAGAGGAAAAGCTGGAAGACCTGGAAGACCAGGAACTGCCTTCCACCAGCAATGCCTAGAATCTACCAGTAAACCAGGAAGAGCCAGGGGTGACTACAATGAGGGCATCACCGGTGAAGGACGAAGGTACTACCTCAGCTGTGGAAGCAGAGGAACCATCAAGTCTTCAGGAGAGACACTGTCTGAAAAGACCTCAACTTGGAAGGAGTGCTAAACTGAGCCAGAGGCCTTCTTGTTTGCAAAGGTCTACTTGCACACCCCTGTTAGTCCCTACCTCACTAACAAGGAGGACCTTTTCAACTGCAGTTGAAAAAATGGGCTCACAACTGAAGCTTGGGTGCGCCTCTGCATAAAAACAGCAGTGTCAGACTGAAAGAGCTGCTGTAAACAACTTTGGTCAGGCCTTCTTGAATCCAGTTTCCATTGCCTTGTATCCAGACTGCTTCCTGGTGTGATTATTCTGGACTGAACTTTGGCTCTCCTTCTATCTGCCCCTTATGTGCTGTGTTGCCTTAGGATCTAGTTGCCCATGGCCTGGACTGTTGAGATGTTGCCTTTTGCCTGATCCCTGTTCATGCTGTGACTACCTTGAAACCCTTGGGCCTTTGAATGTACAGCTACTAGTCTTGGTCTCCGGAAATGTGAAAACAACAAACCATGGGTTGGTGTTATGTGTGAACCAGGTCAACGTAAGTTGGGTGCTTCTTTTCCCTGTGTTTTATTAGAAAACTTTGCATCAAACTTTAATGCAGGTTCATAAACCATAATTAACCACAACTTTGCTAATTATGAAATTAATTAGTATACCTTTTCATGGCTTTATTTCTAATATTAGTAATGCATATCTTGATGGCTAATTAAAAAGGAGAACTCTGCCCCCATCTTCTTCCTGCAGTTTCCTGCACTACCCTATGGAGCCGTTTTGAAGAATATACAGGGACTGTGGAGGGAGAGAGAATTGCCCCCTTCCTTGTTCTCATGATATTGCTGCTTCCATCAGCAGAATGGCAGAACTGGATCCAACCCATAGCAGGAATTAATGTCCAGTGAGCCTCTTTCATTAAGCAGCTCTTAGCAGGTTGTGCTATTATTAATTGCTTAAATTGACATCCTGCCTTTTCCTCCAAGGCGCACCATGGATGAACTGCCTCCTTTCTTTTTTATCTTCCTTTCTCTTTTATCTTTCCAAGAGCCCTGTGAGCCAACATAGGCTACAACTCACCTAGTGAGCTTCATGGCCAGGCAGGACTTCAACTCTTACATTCCATCACACTGTCTATTACCAAGCTATGATAGCACTACAACCAATATCTCGGATTTAAATGTGGAGGTGACTGGCTCTACATCCTTCACCTGTTCAGCTCTGTCACTGCAGTGGCTCAACCAAAGTTTAGTGGAGTTTCTATGCTTCTTGGCACAGACAAAGCTGACCTGTCTCAAACACAGATACCAAGAGGAAATGCAACAACCTCAGATGCTGCTAAAACAACCAAGCACTTTAATGTTTCCTGCAAGAAAGTAAATTCTCCAAGTTGACGGATTGTTTTAAAACAATAAACATTGCTCCATAAAGCATGAAGTGATTCCATAAGTTTGAGTTTACAGAATTCAATAAATTTTCAACTTCTCAGGAACCTGAATAGGTTCCTGTGTCATAGCTAGAAAATTCTATTCGTAAAAAAGCAAGTATATTATTACTGCTCTTTTGAACAGTTCTTCACCCTGCCTAGGTGGGGTCTGGGCACAAAGCTTTAGGGCCAGCCTTTCATTGCAGAGGGATGAGGTGGCCTTCTTGAGGCAGCAACAGTACTGAGGGGCAGCAGATGGTCCATTATCTGGGTTATAAGTTTACAGGGTTCCTGTCAAAGGAGCATTTGTATTTTAAGCAGAAATTCAGGATCATTTAAAACCAGCATAAAATTATGTATGCTTATGTAGACAGCTATCCATTTCTGTTCCAAGCAGCTTAATGGTAGGCACTATTTACAAAGTGCATTTGTTGCATGTTCTTGAGATACTGAAGATTTTATGGTATTATAAAAATAGCATTAGGATTAAAAATTCAAAAGAAATACAGTCAGGAGATCCATCCAGAGTTAGTGCTTATGTAAGTTAGCACTGTGCTGAATATTTCTTTCTTCATTTTTTCAGCAAATACGGGGGTGAACTGAAGAGTTGCTGCAACAGATGCTCAGAAGGGGGTGAATCTTGAATACATCCTTAAGTAGGAAGTGGGCGAGGCAGAAGTTCCATGTACCTTATTAGCTGTCTGAAGGATCTTCCACCTATTTTTTGCTATTAAAATAACTCTGAGCTCACAGCATCAGAGGATACTTTGCAGACTTGCTTTTAGATCGTAGCAGTTCCTGGAATGCTGGTGTAACATACATAACATTCCATGGGCATCTGAGAAACTACTGTAGGTTAAAAACCTGTCTGAGTAATAGTAAAAAGAGCAAAATAGTAAATAGTAATTCTAATAATAATAAAAAAGGACTTCCTTAGCCACTTGGAGCATGCTGGAAATTGTAGGAGTTTTAGCTCCTAATAGGGTAAATGGAGCTCATGGCTAACTGAAAATTTCTTCAGAATTGACCGCTATCCTGGAACATATGGAGAAAAAACAATGCATCTTTTGCCACATGAAGAATATTTAAAAAATAAGGCTCAGTATAGCTGCAATGTAATCATTCAAAGTGCCTCAAAACAGTTGCAATTTGAATATTACATACTAAATGTGATGTTAAATAAATGGGGGAATTTTCAAGCTCTAAAAATAAGGGGAGAGGCAAGATAATTAAAGTATTTTGGGAAAAAAGAGATTCCAAGACACCTCTGGTTCTGAGCAGAATTAACGTGGTCATTTGGTATAGTACTTGATAAACTGGTATATAATGTAACAATTTTCACAATGTCCATAGCAGAGAAAAAGCCTGCGTTTACTTGAAAGTAAGTTCCATTTGATTCTGTAGGGTTCATTCAGAGAGCCTGGATTTAGGAATGCAGCCCCACCTGGGAGACAAAGAGAAAAGGAAGAGGAAGAATATGGAATCAGCAAAGCTAACCAGATTGCAACTGTGCCTTCTTCTTTGGGACTCACCTGTCAGAATTAGCACTCATCCCGCCATGGAAATGACATGCCTGTCCATTGCTTCCCTTTTCTTCATTCCCACCCAGGCTTTGGAATTAACAGAATTCATGCACCTAGTTACTACAGAGTGCCGATGAAGACTCAGCTGTATCATTGCATGAGTGTGTTTTATGTGTTGTCTAGAACTGATGAGAAATAGTGATTCAGCCATAAGTTAATGAAATTAAGCCAGTAATGTGTGGCTTTCTATATTTTTATTTGTTGATTTGTTTTACCAGTTCTTCAGCATGTTTACTTGGGCCTAAGTCCCACTGAAATTACTGGTGCTTTCCTCCCATCAGGCATGAATAGAATTGGACCACTCATCTCTGATTCTTCCATGTTCCTTCTCCCTTCAGTGTGTTATGGAACATTATGAAATGCTGAGCTTGCTTTCAAATAAAACAACTTTGGATCTAGAAAAATATACTTATTTTACTATTTATCTGGAAAAAGAGATAAAACAAACAATTATGTTGTGTGAAACTTCTTCAAAATCATCATTTTCATTTCAAGCCAGTCCTCATGTTGTCCTACTGTTTCTTTTAAGCTCTTACAGTAATAAAGTTTAGTTCTTGTTTAACTGTAGCATAATCTTTTGGGTATCAACAACAGTAAACAGGTTTGCTGGAGAGATCGACTGGGGATCACCTGCCTGCCTATTTCAGCACCATTCCCTGGCAATTTTTCTCTCTTGGAGAAAAAAGACTTTAAAAAGCGTTCTCAACAGAAAGTGGCTGTCAAGGATATATTGCATATATTTGCACATAATAAGGAGATTAGCTCTTTGAAAGTGACTTGCCTTGAAACAAAAATGTCATACATAGCTCAGTTTAAGTATAATAACTTCTTTTTAAAAAGCAGAAGCTTGTCTTCGTTTAGGGAAAGAAACACTGTCTAGGCTTGCTTTAATTGGTTTGTTTGTTTGTTTCATTTGTATACCACCCAATAGGCAAGGCTTTCTGGGCAGTTAACAAAAGTTATAATATATAATAAGGTTTATAATAGTATATAAAAAGATTTACCAAAAAATCATATTATATGCCACATACTTTTCACTGATACCACTAGTTTAGTGATGTCCAATGTATTTGTTGGTCCAAGGTGAAGGGGGTCACAAAACCACTTTCTGCTACCATGTTTTGGTAATCTATAAAAATGTTGTTTCAGGAGTTGCCCGCTGAAGAGCTCTGTGCAACTCTAAAGAAGTTGTTCGAAGAAAAGGTATTGCCTTATTTATATGTGTGTGTTAAACTATATATGAAAACAGGAAGACTATTTAGTGGCTTCAGAAAAACAAGAACCATAAAATATACATGTCGAGTTAAATAATTCAAAGCAAACTTAAGAACTTCAATCTCTTCCCAAAGCAACTTCTGCAAGCACTTCCCTTGGACGGACTAGTACGTACAAATGATGTGGGTGTTTGGCGACTCCGCTCCTGGAAGTGCTAAACAGAGCCTTGGTTAAGTTGCATTCATCGTTTTGCTAACCATTTTGTCATTTTGGTGCTTTTATAGATGTAAAGAGAACATTGGCCCTTGACCTGAAATGATGGCCTGTTGAGTACAATGATGAAGTCTCCATTTCACCTAGCATTTATGCAGAGTATTCATGCATATAGACCATGTTGAGATGAATGGTACTTAAGCAGAAGCTTCATAGATTGAATTTGTTGCTGACTTTGGCTATTCAGATCATTCTACAGCACACTTATAGCCTTCATTTGCATATAACTTTCTTGAAGAACGTGAAGGCTTAAAATGTTTAAATGGAAATGTACTAAGTATATAATTAGTATATATTACATACATATAATTAAGTATGTAGAAAAAAGAGAAAGACCTGTATATCTTTTGTAGGTAGGTGAGGCACTTGATTCACTCCTCAGAACCCATAGTACACTCATCGGAACTCATAATACACACTATGAAAACAGAGTTTTTCCTCTGGTAAAGAAAGGATGAGATCTGCTAATGGGATTTATGAGCATTGTATGAACAGCAAAAACAAAGTTTGTTGAAGGAATGTGTGAGATGTCTGTTACTTTATTGAATTGTGCATGACTTCTGCAGAAACGTACCATATTCAGAGTAAGTGGAGAGACAGTAGAGAAAAAACTATGGAAGTCTAAACTTATCAGATGTTTCTTTTGCTCCCCTCCAGGCACTTATTCCCTATTCTTTTGCTTCAGTTAACTTATTGGAGGTTTTGAGAGCACAGAGGAGGCCTTACCTTATGAAAAATAGCAACTTCTTTCCCAAATGTCTAAAGAAGTGATATAAAAACCTGTCTTTGAGCACTTATCTAAAATTATCTTTCTAGTGTTATAAAAAGAAAATCATTGGACACATTGGCACTTCAGGGTCACTGTTGACTCACAGATGTATAGCTTGAAGGCATTAATATGTACAAATCGGGAGCACCTCTTAAAGCTAATAAAACAAAGGGAAGTCTTGCTCCATGTGCACAGTGCTTCCATTTATTAAGCATAGACCATTTTCCTAGATGCTGGTAAACTTGCATTTTCTCATACATTCATTCTCTTGTTATAATATCAAACTTGTCTTAAATTACTGATTGCAATTACCTTTCAGTCATCAGACCTCTTCTTTTCTACTAACATTACTTTTATGGTGTATTTATCTCATTTTCTGAATCTAGGCTTTAGTAATGCTGACCTTAGTGGCCTGTAATATTTTCTCTTTCCACCAGTGCTAGCAAGCTTTTATTCTCATTAGTGACAACAACTTACACACCTAAAGTCCTGCTGTCGTCTTATTTTTGTTTTGCTTAGACATTAAACTGTTCAGGTGAAGGAGACCACCTTGCTTATTTTGCTGATTTTTTACAGACTTCTTCATGCTGATGTTTCTGGGACTGAGCACAGATAAGAGTACATGGCAGCTATCAGAATACAGTCTCTTTCTAACAGCTTGTGTAAATGCACTGCACAAACAGAATGTTTGAATGTTAATGCAGTTTTTAAAAGTATGTTGAATGAGACCTGTTGATTGTGCTTAATGATGTGTGAAACCCTGCTAGTATGCATTGAAAAAAAAACTGGTGGATTAAGTATCTTGATTAATGTCTAGAGGCCACGAATTGAGTCTGACATGGATTCCTGAAGCATGTCCTCAACACAGGTTTTATCCCACAAAGATTGTTTATGACCTTGTTTATTCAAGGAAAGTAAAACTCTTCACATATGTTGCTCCTTATTAATTAAAATCATCATTAGAAAATAGCGGTACATATGCTTAAATCATTGTTTCCAGTATCACTCCAACATCTGATAATTGGTTCCAAAGTCTTCTTTAAATAATTAATAACATGGCTGAACTGCTGTTCCATTTCTTGTGCTTTCATAAACATAATGTACTTTTGAATTTGGTGCCTCATTTCATGATAACATATTGTTGGATACTTCTTTCCAGACGTTTACTTTGGATGCAGCAGAAGCAGAGTACAATCTATTCCTTGACTTAATCCTTATAGATCAAATTTCTATCATATAGAACTTACTGGAATACTGGAATTTTCTAGTATATTGTTCATATATCAATATTTCAAATTACAGGCTGATCCTAAATTATAAAAACAGTAAGCCCTACTGAGTTCAATAAGATTTGCTTCATTTTAAGACTGCTAAGAATTTTTATAACAATCAAAACTATTCAAGATGCATTTTAATAACATTAATAACATTGCATATGCTTTCATTCAACTAGGTAGACAAGAAGATTGTCCGAACAGAAATTGGTGTTCTACTTCGACTTTCACATCCTAACATAGTAAGTCAGATTCGTCTATAAAGCAAACATAGATATGTACTTGTTGGCCAGCAATGCAGCTTTGATAACTTTCAGTGCTGACTTAACATCTTGTTTTGCCACACACAAAAGGAATAGGAAGCTCAGCCACACAATTAAGAGAAAAAGAGAGAGAAACTTGCAGTTATCTGAGATTAATATTTCTTGTCCAGGTTAATGATTGGCCAAGCCCAAGGTTTTTTAAATGGAGTTTTAATATACGATCTCTTTTATTTTATCTTTAAGCCATGCCTTCCTCTCCTGAAATCATTTCCATTGAATTTTCAAGAGATTTCAAATTAATGGCTCTCAGGAGCCCTAATCAGTCAACAATATGTGCCCTGTTTTAGTGTGGGCTGCTGAGCCATAAGAAAGTAGAGCCTCTAGGCAGAATGAAATGCAGAGAGATTTTGGGAAGAAATTAAGAACTAGAACAAGCTCAAGCTCAAGCTCAATCATTTGTCAGGAACAAACAAATAGGATAAGCAGTACATCTATCTTTCATATTGTAGTTAGTCTTAAAGCATATGCATACTCTAAAGAGGGGAAAAATGGAAAATTCCTTATTTTGTGCCTTTCTTAGATAAAACTGAAGGAGATATTTGAAACCCCCACAGAAATCAACCTTGTCTTAGAGCTGGTCACAGGAGGAGAGCTGTTTGACAGGTAGGTGATGTATGAAAATTAAACCATGCATCATGAAGGAATATTATCATACTAAAAACTCCTGCTATAAAGTGGAGAATGATCTGTGTTGGCTGGGTGGGAAATTGAGAGGCTCCGGGTGGAGTGGTGGTATTTCAGCCCTGTTGTTCTGGCTTGTGAAATGCTGTGGTCTTGCACACCAGTGGCTAATGTTGCACTGGTGCATAGGCAGATGTATTTGTTTGAAACAATAGTAGTGATTCCGCTACAGGTTTTCTCTTATAGAAATTCTTTTCACCCATTCCGTTCTGTGTTCAGGTCTAGTTTTGGGGTAGAATCTGCCTGGTCACTCAGGTGGAGAGGCAGAGGGAGTGCAACCCTGTTCTTTTCTCTCATTCTCTCAGCAGCTTTTGATACCATTGAGCATGACATCCCCCATGACCATGCGTTGAGAGTATGGGAGCACCATTTTACCTACAAGGTCAATTCTGCAGGAATACTTCGTGCCTCAGGGTGACTGCTTCTGTCTCCGGGTTACTGAGCTGTGGTGTGCTGTGTAACATCACCTAAGTGGGCCTTCTCAATACTGATGCCTGCCCTCTGGAGCACACTTGCCCTGGTGGTCAGGGAGGTAGAGGTGGTGGTGACCTTAAACATTTTCTGAGAACCTACTTGTTTATAGCAGCTTTCCTTGCCTTATTATTGAGCATGATGCTGCCCTATTTGTTCTGTTTTAACAGTTCATTGTATCATATTATATGAATTTTACTGCTGAGTAGTAGTAGTAGTACAGTTCTGAGACTGGCAAGCAGAAGTCTTTTGCCATCTTGCTTGAGGGATCCTATGGATCCCTCAAGCTGGTTTGCCATCATGAGAATGGAGTGCTGGATTGGGTGGACCATTTATCTGATCCAGAATGACTTTTCTTGCATTCTTGCTGTGTTCTTTTTAATGTTTTTAAGAATCTAAACCACTCAGGGATTTTGCTATGTTAAGAATGTTGTAAATATTGTAAGTAAATAAACAGCATCACCATTTTAACCATTCTTGCCCCCTCCACCCATTGGAGTTGTTAATGCAGTAGCGGCATCTTGCAATCACAAGTTCTCACAGATCTTGCAGTCCACTGATGCAAACCCCAAATAATAATCTGGAAAAGGCTTGTTATTCTCTCTTTTCTTTTCCTGTAAGTCTTTGGTGAAGCAAGAAATGTGAGAGAATCATTCTAGTAAATTTGAGTTCTAAATATTCTTGAATGGTTTTCAAAATATGATACTTCCAGGCTTTGAATACATTAATAGTTCACTCAGTCAAATAGTTCTTTGGATATAAGTTGTCAAGGTGTTCATTCACCTGGCTTCTTTTTTTTTCCAGATACAGTCTGCTATTAAAGATCAGACTGATGCAGATACTGAAGGCAGGAAAAGGTATCTGCTTTGGTTGCTTTTTGCCAAATGCTCTTTGCAAGCATTTCCATTTAGATTGCACAAGCTCTCAGAGGATTTCACTCCAACATGTCTTCAGTTGTACATGTACATCCTGGTTCCCTCCATGTGTTTTGGATGGCGCTTCTTATGAGCATTAGCCAGCATTAGCATGGGTCAAATCAGAGGTATTACAGTTTTAAACATCTGGAGTGCACCACATTGCTTACCCCTGTTCAATGAGGTTGGTTGTAATAAAAATCATTCTCTGGACATAAACTGTATCTATGATCCCTGGGCTGACTATCCTCCACCATTTGGTGTTTAATGAGGTTAGCCCTGTACAGACTTCCAAGATTTTAGGTCAGAACTTGGAAAAAAGTGCTGTCCTTATCAATACTATTGCTAGAAGACTATGTGTGATTTAGTGGTGAGAGCAAGCTGGGAAACTCTTTCTAAGGGTGCAGTTCAATTTCAGAGAAGCTCTTGGATTGAATTCCAGTTCTAGATGTGACCAACAGCAAAAGAGTTGGGGCCTAAAACACCAGAAATACCAAAATAGTTTAGTTTAAAGCTTGTATTGCCAGGTAACTAAGCCTTAGAAGCATTTTGAATGTCCATTTGGGTGAAAATGCACAAAACCTGGGAAGCCATGAAAGTTGTTGGAGTAGGGGGCAGGGAAGGGAAAGGGACATGACCATTTGGGGAAAGCTGAAGAACAGAATTTGGTCCAGGTTAGAGCTTTCGACAAAGGCTAGGTGATCTGAGCTCAAAACCCCATTCAGCCATGAAAATCACTGGGTAAACATGGACCAACTGCTGCTTCAGCCTAATCTGTATCGCAGTATAAAGCAGGGAAAGTGGCCCATGAAATCTGCCACTCAGAATTCTGTGGAATAATTTATGAGGATTGTACAGAAACTTTTATACCTCACATACTCCAGTATACAGGCAACATATAGTCCTGATCATTATCATGCTGATTACATGAATATGTCACATAGGTTTGTTATTAATTGACAGTCAACAGAACAATAGTAAATAATGAACAGTGAGAACTTTAGAAGATGAATGTAGAAGTACTGCTAGCAAGCACATGTGGCCAAACTGCAGGGAGTGGGGAAGAGAAATCTACAAGAAACAGATGAACAGTTAATAGGAAAAGGAAATGGGATATAGAATATCTAATCAGGAAGAAAATGTAGAGCTGCATCTTTGGCATGAGTTATGCATGTAAAAATCCATTTAAAACATTTTACCATTTTTGTATTTCTCTTTCAGATTACAGTGCTGTATAGTTACTTAAAAGTAAAACAGACTCATGATAACCAGGGCCATGTCTTTGTTTGCTGAAGATCAGGTCATAGAATCATAGAATAGTAGAGTTGGAAGGGGTCAGGAAAGCCATCAGGTCCAACCAATTTGTACCATTTACCCTGATGACTGTTAAGCTGCATCTTGAATGTTTCTAGTGTAGGAGAGCCCACAACCTCTCTAGACAATTGGTTTCACTGTTGCATTGCTCTTACAGTTAGGAAACGTTTCCTGTTATCTAGTCTGAATCAGGGTTTCTGTAACTTGAGCCTGTTATTCCATGTCCTGCACTCTGGGATGATCAAAAAGAGATCATGTCCTCCTCCTTTGTGGCAGCCGTTCAAGTCCTTGTTAAGTGCTATCATATCTCCCCAGTCTTGTCTTCTAGAAACTAAACATACCTAGTCCTTTCAATCTCTTCTCATAGGGCTTTGTTTCCAAGTCCCCAGATCATCCCGGTTGCCCTTCTCTGAACTCTTTCTAGTTTGTCTGCATCTTTCTTAACCTGTGGTGTCCTAACCTGGACAAAGTACTCCAGAGTAGGCCTAAGTAGTGCTGAATAAAGGGAAACTAGTACTTCACATGATTTGGAAGTGATACTTCTATTAGTGCAACCTAAAATAGTGTTTGCCATCTTTGCAGCCACATGTTGACTCATATACAGCTTGTGATCTAGAACAATTCCATGATCCTCCTCACTTGCCATATCTCTGAGCCAAGTATTCCCCATCTTGTAATAATGTATTTCGATTTCTTTTTCCTAAGTGCAGAACTTGGCATTTGTCCTTATTGAATTTCATTCTGTTATTTTTAGTCCAGTGCTCTAACCTATCAAGTTCACCTTTTGATCAATCATCATCTTATTTCTGTCTTCCAAGGTACTAGCTATCCCGCACAGTTTTGTGTGATTTGCAGATCTGATAATCATTCCCTGCACTTCCTCATCCAAATCATAACTAAAAATGTTGAAGAGCATTGGGCCCAGGACTGAGTTTGCGAAGGTGCCATTGATGAGCAGTCTTTGTGACTGATTCTGTAGCCAACTGTGGAACCACCTGATTGTTGTTCTATCTAGCTTGCTTTTGCATAGTTTGCTAATCAAGATATCAAGCGTTGTCAAACGCTTTACTGAAGTCAAGATATACTATGTCCACAGCATTACCTCAGTCCATGAGGGATGTCATCCAATAAAAAAAAAAGAAATAAGTTCCATGTCGACAACAATTCAGTAGTTACTAGAAGCCAACGTGTTTTCAGACTGACAGCTTTATAATCTGCTCCAAAATTTTCTGATAGTTTCCAGGTTCTTTTTTGCCTTTCTTGAAGTAGAGGACAACATTAGTCCTTCCCCAGTCATCTGCCACTTCCCCTGTCCTCCATGATTTTTCAAAGATAATAGAGTTCTTTCACCAACCCCTTTATGATTCTAGGATGCAGCTCATTGGGCCCTGGAGATGTGAACACATTCGACCTAATTGGATGATCCTTGACCATTTGCCCATCAATTTTGAGCTGCCATTCCTGCTGCTTCAACTTCTACTTCCCCTTCAGCAAGAAGGTCATAGATCGTTTGGGAGAAGACTAAGCTAAAGTAGGAATTGAGCACTTTTCCTTTTTCTTTGTCATCTATTATCATTTTGCCATCCGCATTGAATCACTGGACCTACTTCTTTCCACTTGGGATATATCTGAAGAAGGCAATTTGTTGCTTTTAGCATCCCTCACTAGCCTCAGTTTGTTCCTAGCTTTATTTTATTTATTTATTTATTTAAAGCTTTCTTTTTACCATCTGATCACAAAAGTCTCAGGATGGTAGTAGAGTAAGAAGCACAGCATCACATAGCCTTCCTGATGCCATCCCTGTCATCCTGTGCCACCTGCCCTCCTCTTCCTTTGTAGCATGGTCTTCCCTTTTGTTCTCAGGGCTGTCTCTCTTGTCCACTACCCCTTTTTCTTGTTGGAATTGTTTGTAATTGTGCCTATAGAATGGCTTTTTTAAAAATCCCACTCATCTTGGATTCCTTTTAAAGCCCTCCTGATAAACTTCTTCATGCTGTGACCAAGCACTTCTCTCCAGTCCTTGTAAGGCATGGGTCCTCAGACTAAGGGCTGCGGGCCAATCTGGCCCACCATGCCCATTTAACCAGCCCGCCCCTCAGGTTTTGCACTCGCCGGGTGCATGGCTTGCTCACGAGGAGGGCGTTTTGGACTTGCTTGGAAACATGATCTCCTCTTGAGCAAGCTGGCGCCTCCAGCCACATGCTTCCCCTTCCCCGCCCCACA